AAAAAGGAATTTTTGAAAGAAAATTAAAATTAAAAAAGCGAAACCAACAGTTGCTGGAAATGAATGATGGCTACAATACAACATAGAAAAACACGATACTGCAAAAGCAATGCTTTTTAAAAGGGAAGTTTATAGAGTTTACTGCCTACATTAAGAAATTAGAAAGGCATCACATAAATGATCCATATAAAGGACCTAAAAAAAAATAGCAAACCAAACCCAAAATTAATCAGAGGAAAAAAATTAAAATTAGAAAACAAAACTGAAACCAAAGAATAGTTTTTTTTTTTTTTTTTTTTTTATTGTTGCTTACACTGTATTGTGTAGTACAGTTTTATAGGCGCTGGGGATTCCCCCCACCCCTCCCCATACCCCTCCCCCCATGGTGGCAAAGAATAGTTTTAAAAAAGTGAAATAACTGGGATTTCTACTGAAAAAAAAGGAGACTAATAAAAGATGAGAAACAAAGTTGTTATAATGGACACAACTAATAAATGATCATCAGGAATTATTACAACTATATGCCAACAAATTGAAAAAATCTAGAAAAATAGATTTGTAGACACATGCAATTCATGAAAATTGAGTCATGAAGACATTAAACCCAAATAGACCAATAACCAAGAAGACACTGAGTTATTAACAAAGACACTTAACAAAGAAAAACCAATGGTTCACTGTTCAAATCTTCCAAATTTTGCAAATACTAATCCCAATCTTCTCATATTCTTTAAAACATTTGAAACAGATGTAATCCTCCCAGACCCTTTGTAACAGAGCAGCATCACCTTAATTTCAAAGCCCGAAAAAGATACAGTGAAGAGATTATAGATCAATATCCCTTATGAACAAAGATGCAAAAATTGTCCACAAAATACTAACTAATGGCATCCATCAACACATCAGATGATCACTCTCCTGGACTAGGTGGGATTTATTATTGCTTAGCAACATGTGGGAATCAATAAATTTAAATTTAACACATCACATTAATAAAAAGAATAAAAACCAGATGTGGAGAAAGCGTTTGATAAAATACAACATCATTTCATGATTTAAAAAAACTTAAGGAATATTATTTCTAATTTTCTAAACACAATCAATATGTACCAAATCTACATTCAGCATCATATTTTGAACGAAGGAAAGTTGGAAGCATTTTTATGGAAAAGATCCAGACCACACAAGGATGCCCAGTTTTACCATTGCTATTCAGTGAAGTTCTGGTAGTTTCAGCCAGAGCATTAGCCCAGAAAATACAAAATGGATACAAATTGAAAAGCAGGAAGTCAAATTATCCCTGTGTTATGGATGGCATGGCTTGTGTGTGTGTGCATATGTATATATATCAGGAGAGACAAAGAGATTTTATATATATATATATACATACACACACATATATATTAGATGTATCAAAAGATTTCACCAAGAGACTAATGGAACTCACAAGCAAGTTTGATAAGATGTCAGGACATAACATCATCACACAAAAAATCAATAGCTTCTGCATGCACACATAATGATGTGGCTAAGAAAGAACTAGTAAGACAAGTCCCATTTACAGTATCTACAAAAAATTTTAAATCTTGGAATAAATTCTACCAAGAATGTGAAAAGCCTCCACAAAGGAAAATTATAAAGCTTAAAAATAAAAAGGAAGACATAAAATGAAAATATCTTCTATGTTCATTGATTAGAAGAATATCATGGAAATGTGTACACTCTCCAATGCAATTTATACATTCATTGCAACCCCCTTAAAATATATGACATTCTTCTTAGAGCTAAAAAAAAAAAATCCTGCTAAAATTTATATGGAAACACAAGAGACCTCAAATAGCTAAAGCATTATTACACAAGAAAGCCAGAGGCATCACAATATCAAATTTCAAGACATATTACAGAAAAGTTATCATTAAAACAGCATGATACTTTGGTACAAAGATAAATCTATAAACCGATAGAACAGAACAGAAATCAATCCACACACATACAGCCAACTAAACTTCGACAAATGAGCTAAAATCACTCCCTGGACAATAAATGGCCTTTTCAACAAATAGTGCTGTGAAAAGTGCACCTGTGTAGGCGGAAGTATGAAACAAAATACCTGCCTTGCACCTTGTCCAAAAATCAACTCAAAATTGATCAAGTATCTAATTCTATGTCCTGATACCATCAAATTACTAGAAGAAAAAATTGGGGAAACTCTGCCAGATATTGGTATAGCCTAGAAATTCTTGACAAAGACCCCAGAAGCACAAGGTAATCAAAATTAAAACAGAAAAACGTGACTGCATCAAGCTAAGCTGCTTTACTGCAAAAGAAATATTCAACAAGGGAAGAAATGGGCAAATATGAACAGGCTTTCTTCAAAGCATGAAATACAACAGCCAACAGACACATGAAAAAATGCTCAGGATCACCAGCTATCAGGACAAATTAAGTAAAACCTACACCAAAAGTAAATAAAACCTCACTGTAGCTAAAATGTCTGTAACATGAAAATCAAAAACTAATGAATGTTGGCAAGTATGTAAGGGAAAAGGTACCCTCGTCCACTGTTGGTAGGAATGTAAACTAGTACAATTATTGAATACAGTACGGAGATACCTCAGAAATGTAAAATTCTCACTGTTGAGAATTTAACCAAACGATATAACAGTATATGAGACAGCTATTTGTACACCTATATTTATTGAAACTCAATTCACAATAGCTAATATATGGAATCAACCCAGATATCCGTCAAAAGATGGCTAAAGAAAATGTGGTATAAATCCACAGACTATTGTATACTATTCAGCCACCAAAACTAATAAAATCTGTCTAGCAACAAATGAATGCAACTGGAAACCATTGTGCTTAGTGAAATAAGCCAGTCCCTAAAAGACATGTCTGTGTTTTCTGATGTGTAGCAGTTGATATAGAATATAGAAATATGCATATGAATCAAATGGACATCCTGTAATATGATTATTGCTTTTAGTCCCTTGGTTACACATTTGTGAAACTATTATCCCTCTACTTTTTACTTTTTGAGTACTATGGTTACTGGTGCATTAAGCCTGTGTTATACGGTGGAATGATAATACATCTTTGAAAAATTGAAGAAACGGAAGGAAAGGGGGGATTGATGAAAAATGTTGGAGGGAGCAATACAATAGTTATCTTATAATTGTACCTACAAAATACACAAACTGTATTCTCCTTATAAAAAACCCAAAAAGTATAAGATGAAATTAAACTTTTATGTAAATTTTAATTAAATGTACATAAAACTAAAAAAATTATTCAACCTTGCATTAAAAATAATTGTTAAACTCTTCATTAAATATTTTGTGAAATACATTCAAGGTAAACTTTTGCATCTGAATGCAAACTTCAGGTTGTTCTTCATGTGCTTTCAGTTTAGAGTCATTCACCTATGAGACCTTTCAAAGTTCATTTTTCATTCAACTATTGTCATCATGTCTTTTCATGTCAATTTTCACTGACTTTTTAAAGCTTTAAATGACACAAAAATGTGAAATGAAGAAATTTTCAACAACTCAAGGAAAATTTCGGTGAATTTCCTGACCACCCCCCCCCAAAAAATAAGCAGGCTTCCTACTGAAGATCAAAACAGATATGACAAAAATAACCTGTATAGCACCAAAAACACTAATCTATTTTTGTGGAGAAACACCCTGATGGACAGTCCCACCACCAAATTTCACAGGATGGGAGAGCGCAAGTTCCCTTAAATGAAGGATCACAAAAGAAAGGAGAAAAGGATGCAGGGAACAGAGAAACCAGAAACCCACTAAATGCGCTTCACTATACATATTACCTAATCAGTAGCATTTGACATAATTTCGCATTCTTGCATATCTGTTTTTTGTGGGCAGCTAACATTTATTTTCGTGCAGGAATATGCCACATTTAATTTAACCAAATTCCCTGTAACTTGAACATTTTTTTTTCATTTTTATGCTCCCAAAATTTAGAATAAACCCCAACACATAGGAAGTACTTAGTAAGTACCTGTTCAACTACAAATTTCAGTACATTTCCAAAACACTTTTTCTGTTTTTCCAGTTTGACCCAGAAGAACCCAGTTGTCCCGAAGCAGATAAATAAAACACCCGAACTACACATATGTAATGCAAGACTTTTAAAATACATGTTTTAACTAGAACGGGGTGCCTAAAATTAGTCTGATTATTCTGATTATGTAAGATTATTCAGCAGACTGTTTTTAGCAAAGGAGCTTAAAGATACTCATGCCTGAAGACATTAGTCAATGGCCCCTGCAGCTCCTGACTTCCCAAGACTAATCCTCTGCCAGAAAGCCCATGTAGGACACAGCCAGCAAAGCCAAGAGGACCTGCATCAGTAAAAGTGACCAAAAAAACTCTGCCATGCAGAAAGCCCAGTCTGCAGATGCTTACCCACTAAACACTCCAGTAGATGACAAGAGAACAAATAGGTTATCTTGCTTGAAACCTCAGCCTTGGTTTTTCGGCAAGGCTTGCCAGCTCAGTGCAAGTTGTGCTAGATTCCATGTTTCTATCCGAATAACGTTAAGTTATCATTTACTTCCAGCTTACTCAAAATTCCAGATACATTGACATGAAGTCAGAAATAAATTATTTCAGAACTTGAGATGAGAAGCTACAATCAAATACCAACTTATCTTGTTTCAAAAGCATCGGATACAAAATCTTACAAATTGTGGTTTTTGCTGGGGTACAAGGAAAAAAAAAAAATGAGTGACCAATTTGTGAAGCAAAGAGTAGCTATACAGGAAAATATTGAAATGCAGGATTCCTTCATTGTAAGTGAACAACTTTAGAATATTGTGCTTAGTTAAAATATTGATGCATCTACTCAGTTTGTTGATCTTTAGTTAAAACAGGAGGAATATCACACATAATTGTACCTCATATTAATTACAGTGAGTACCAATTACTACCTCCCATTCTGTTGGTTCACTAAACATTGTTCATTTTTCTTACCTTATGTCCTTGTCTTCCTGGTTCACCAATTTCTCCTTTAGCCCCTTTATGACCCTGACAAATGCAAAAACAAACACACATGTAAATATATAAGTAAATACAATTGTATTGCATTGGGTGCAGAAAACTGAAAATTCACTTCACAATTTAGGGATGATTCTCCATCCATAAAGCTATGTCAATATATGACTATGAAAGATTATCTCACACAGAAAATATCTGCCTTAACTGGCCTGTACAGATCATGTGTATCATGACTGGTGCGTATAATAAACATGCTTTTACAGAAAAGCACTACTCTAGAAAAATAAACACTCCATTACCTATTTCAGCAACATGATTCATTACTAATTCCTGCCGCTGCCTCTATCCGGTTTCCCCATCTTTCTGCATTTGGGCTAAGAGCATGAAATCTTCAGCATCAGTAAGTAAATTTTTCAGAAGTGGCAACACTGACCCATTTCATCCAGCCACTTCTGTGGAAGCAGCTCTCAATAGCTCCAGTCTCCTGTGTCCCACCCTCCAGCCTAGGGAGAGGAAGGGCCACTATCGGATGAAGACATCCCCAGAAGCACAACTTCCTAAAGGTAATTTTAAGTGCAAAGGGGAAGTAGTTAAAGCTGTAGAGCATGAAAACAAGATCCATGTGTTTTCTTGTCAGGCCACCAATCCAGGTCCAAATCTCGCAGTTCAGGGTACCCACCAAAAGCTCCCTTGCAGAAAACCTCAAGGAAAACCAGTCTCTTTAAGGCCTTTCAACTCCTAGCAGAATTCCATCAGTATGGAAATTTACTTCAGACTCACACTAAAAACAGGAAACTCCTGGTCCCAAATTTTGACATCTGTTTTTTGTTTTTTGTTTTTGGCTTTTGGGGTTTTTTTGTTTGTTTGTCTTATGGAAAAATTATATATAGTTGTGAATAGTGAGAGAAAAACCTTTAAGAAAGTCTTTGCCTGTTTTGGAGTTTCTCTGAGTTTTGTTTTGTTTTAAAGCTAAAACTGATTACCCAAAGCTAAAACAGGTGCCCAATCTACCATCCCCACCACCATCTTCTGCCCATAGGAGGCTAATTCATGAAACTTGCTTCAGGGTTCCTGGAGTCTCTCAATCCAGTGTATCTTCTAGGTGTGTCTTTACTTCCTCACAAAGGCATTAGTCACCTGTACCAATAGGTGCACCTGCAAGGGGTGCCAGCTAGGGCATCTAAGACTGATGAAACACTAGAGAACAAGCTAGTGGATTTTACCAATTCATCCAAGTGAGGTCTGCATACCACAACAGTTAGTGCTTAAAGTACAGCTCCACTGTGCTTGTGGACAGTATCTTGAAAGGAAAACAGGAAAACTGGTCCCTTACCCTCATGCCTGGTAGGCCTGGATATCCAGAGCGACCTGGTGGGCAGGAATTGGGACACTGCCAGAAAGAGGGGAGAAAAGAGATTATATGAGCTGGAGTCCCTACTTGGGGACCAAGTATGTTCTCCTTTTTTGCTGTTTTTGCCAATGATTTCAAAAACAGAATCTCAAGGCAATTATAATAACCATGAAGTAATTCAAAATCTCTCATTTCGTAATTATTTCATTTTTAAACTTAGAATTATTTTGAGATGACAAAATGTATAGTAAATGTAACAAATACCCTCCACATATTTATTCATCATCCAGTTTTAATGAATGTTTAATATTCTGCAGTTTTTATCTCATGTTTAATTTGCCAAAGAAAGAAATGCTTATAATCACTGTAGCATAACCTGATTCATTCCCTTCCCCTCTACTGGAAAAGCCCTAATGGACTAACATTCAGTTTAATGCTATTCTCACCATCACGGGCTCTCAATCTGCACAGAAAACAAGGTTTGGGTGGAGCTGTTTGTCTTCTACATCCAAAACTCAAATTGTTCTGGTGACCAGTATGCCTCAGTCACCAAATGGAAAAAAACCACAGAAAGACAAAAATACTTTCAAAATGAAAGCCTGTCATAGTATGCATACACACAAACTACCATTCCACCAGTCCACTATGGCTAATGATGGCTCTGCCACTGAACAAAAATAAAGACAAAATTCAGTAGGTTCCAGAGAGAATATTAAGGAGAACTCAGTTGAAGACTACACAGCCTTCAAAAACTGAGGTTAGGTCCAGGGCTTGGAGAGAGGGAAGGGGGTACCCACTTCTGGACCCCATGTTACAGCTCCCTGTCCGCTTGCACTAGATGGGCCAGCTGTGCAAGGCAAGATCTTGGAGTTGCCAAGACAACCAAGGTGTGGGAGCATCCCTAAAGCTTCTCTACCCAAGCCTAGGCAGGAAGCAGCTGTAGGCAGGGCACCCGGAATAAGTCGAGATAGTCGCTTCATTACTCTCATTCAAGACAGCTCTTTATGAGCCCATCCACCTGGGTTCTGCTATATCCTTTCCTATGTTCATGACCATAAGAAAGGGGGAAAAAACGGGCGGCGGGAGTGGGAGGGTACTTAAAAAGCCAAGTCATTTCTAAAACCAGTATCCATTCCAAGACACCCCACTTCCCTACTTCCTACTTCACTTCCTACTTCTTTGTAGGGCAGTCCTTTCTATTTCATTGCTTCAAATAAAATTTCTGTTACACAGGAGCATGCTTCCCAGCTTTTTATTTCTATATTAAGCTGAGCATAGACCCCACTGAGTTTCACCGGTAACAAAAACTATATTTTGTTCCAAGGAAAACATCTTACCAGAGGATCTCCATCATGAAAGCCAATTGTTCCCTAGAATAAATGAAATATTAAAGAATACAATTAAATAATTCATTCAAACTTACTTATAAGAGAATGTTCACTAGAAAAATATAAGAAGTATATTGGCCTAATAAAAAAAATACAAGGAACATAACATCCTAATCTAAGAACTTCACTCGTGGGTATTTTCCTGATGGAGAACCCTAAACTGCAATAGATCATTTCTTTGGGGGAACTGCAGGAAAATGAAATAAGAGGCAGAATAGAAAATACAGAGCACTCTAAGTCACAAATTAAAAGTAAAGATTATCCTATTTAAACTTCTAGTTCTTTTATTTCTTACTATGAGAATCTATAAAGCTAGACCATTTGAAAATTCTTCTTTTATGTGTTAAAGTTTTGAGCACTTAGGAAATAACAAGTTCAAAAGACTTCAATTGTAAAGAATGACACTTTGTCTGTGAAAGTCACACTTTTTGGTCTAAAAAGAACTAAGCTTAAAGTAAAAATACTGGTAGCCATTTTGGAAGATCAGAACAATGACTCAATGAATAAGCACTTCCATTTTCAATTCTTAGATTGTTTTTCAGTCCTCGCTCTAAAATGTAAAGAAATAATCAATCTGCCTATAACTTACACTGGGTCCTGGAGGTCCAGGGGGGCCAGGTGGTCCTCTTCTCCCAGGATCACCCTGCATTGTAAGGAATGATGATAGAGTGGTTATCCATGTGTTAAAACACAGCACAAAAAGCCAGCCAGGAGCAAAAGAAGGCCATCCCCCAAAACTCTGTAGCAGTTCAGTCATGCATTGATTTGCCACCCAAATCAGTGGGCAGCCCATAATCCATTGAATTAAACAAAATCAAAATAAAGGAATTCTAACCTCACCTAGGTGATATAACAGGCAGAGGGGGACAGCAAGAGAAAGCAAATTCCTATGAAGAGGATGCTCATTCGATCACCTTGCAAAACAAGCTGGCAATGGGTATTTATCTAGTTAATTTGCAAAGGAACCACAGTTGCCAATACTGCTGGTGCCATCCAGCTCATGAGAGGAAGAAGGCTCCAGTGACTGAGGCTGTGAAATGGAAAACTTTTCCCTGGCTGGGGCTGTTCACCAACAGTCTGCCACTTGGTCTGTCAGGCACTTGCATGTAATGCCTCAAAATTCAAGCTGGCTAAATTCATGTACATCATTTAGATGAAAATGGGTCCCAATTATTCTTCACATCTGGTATTTATTTTGGGGATGTTTTAATTCTTAAGGTTCTACCATCAGAAGTCAAAAACATCTGACAATTATTTTAGTCTTACAATTATGCAGGCATTTTTAGTTAATCGATTTGCAAACAGGAAGTACATGTGGAGAAGCAAGAAGGTGAATAATATGTGGTTTTTTCCTGTATTAATTTACAGTTGCCTGGCTTCATAGAATCTGACTCCTTCAACAGCATTTTTGAAATATTTTCTGGATTATCAACATGCAGCACTGTTTGAGAAATTTGCTCCATAAAGTTCAGCTCTTCATTGTCCAAGTTCTGCTTATTTGATTATAATTTAATGATAACAGGAACATACATTGTAATAATTCTAGACTAATCTTTTTAATTCTTACAGGGAGTCCAATGCAAAAGCCACTGGACCCCAGTGCTAGCTCACAGTCTGTACAGTGGAGGTTATATGCCATTTTGTGACACTTAATCTAAAAGCTGGAAAGAGAAGTGGGGCTGAAAATTTTGGAGTGAGAAGAATCAAATATCAGTCAAATATATCATCATCAATATTACAGAATAAAATTCATCTGCTGCTTTTGCATTTTCAGAGAAAAGACATCACATAATTTGTATACCTTAATAAAGTTTTCTCTGAAACTAGCAAATGTTGATCAAAATGCACTGTGGTACTCACAACAGGTCCTACTCGGCCGAGTTCTCCAGGGAGTCCTGCTGTCCCAGGAGGACCCTGCAGTCAACAGAAGAACATTGTCCTTATGAACATTTTTATAACACATCATGAGTGATGCCAAATATGATCAACGTGAGACTGAGAAATGTGTATCTGTGCTGGTTTTCTTTCCCAATGAGACAACTCATTTGATCAAACTTTAATTACTTAAACAGAATAATTTTTAAACAAAAAAGCCTTGTTTCAATTAACAGAATACTAATATCATTGTAGCCATGTAAGATCATATAAGCAGGGAATAACACACACCACAGGACAAAGTGTTAGCTGGAGAATGATGTCAACATTTATGACTTACCGGGGGTCCAGGAATACCACGGCCCTAGGAGATTAAAATGAAAATGTTTATAGCATGTGTCTTATACCATTTAAACCATAAATTCTATCACTTAATAAATATGATATTTATTCTAAAGATGTTTCAAAAGGAAGAAGTAATTTGTGTCTGCTCTTAAAATGTTCCTTTGATCTCTGTGCTAACTGGAAATATTTTTCCACACTTCATTTTTATAAAAAACAGAACACCCATGCTTAATGTCAGAATTTACCATTACTCACAAAAAAGGTACAGCACAAGTAGCCAATTCAAAGATTTTATACATCTGAGATATTTTATATGAAATTTTCATCAACATAATTTATAATAGATGTTCCTATATTTCCAGATACTCAATCCAGGAGGCTTTGAAAACAAAATGTCGTTACTCCTGAAACCTAAACCCACAATGTGATTCTAACTGAGTGCACTGAATTCAATCTTGAAGCTACTCTTTCTGTCGCCTTCGCCTTTACACTTAACTCCTAAAACAACAAAATGCAAGTAATCAACGACTGAAGTCCATTTTATTCAATTTCTGAGCCCTAATTTCTACCTCAAGCCTTAGTATGTAATAACTTCACCATAACTATGCTGAACTTAAAACTACCAAGAATCCGTATTATCTTTGCTTTTCGACTCCAATTTTTCATGATCTGAAATTACATTTATTCATAGCTGTCTATGACATCATACTTGCTTTTACTCCAGACTTTTTCTAAAATAAATCTATCCAAAAATCCCAAAGAAATAATGCATACTCTTTCATGATACTCTCATATCTAGTTATTGAGGCATCCAAACAAAAAAGAACTTCACACAGGCTGTGTAAGTTTTAACAATAAATGAGGTTTTTTCAAGGCATTTGTAGAAAAAAAGTCTCCTATTTGAACATTTTAATATAAATCAATTTGGGAAACAGGTGTTGTGCCTGACAATACCAAAGTAATCAGTAAGTGATTTCATTATGAGAGACCTAGATGCTTGGACAATTTTCCCAAATATTTTAAAGCACAACTTTATAAGATTTTGATTTCTGAGTTGAAAATAGAACAGCAAGTCCATTCGCTTCTGGAAACAAGCTTAACTGGAGAAGTCAAAAGTTGCTGAATTATGGAAAAGATAACAGTACAAACAGAAAAATATGGAAAAATACAGGTAAATGACAAGATCGAATGAAGAACAAACAAATCAGAAAAGCTTCCTGAGACACAGTCCTGTCACACACACAAGAAACACCAATCTTCTGGGCTGTGCAATCTCAGACTAGCAAGGAGTCAGGCAGGTGACAATATCTCTCAACATTTTACTCAAGAGAAAACCAGCTGTGAAGACACTGGTGTGATGAATGAGCTACGTACTAGACACTTGGATCTGTGTTGTTGGACAGAGATGCTTTCTATCAGTGACTAGGGGAAGAGTCCTATTGAGAAATATATCCACAAATAGACATAAGTAGTTTACTCTGTACATCTAAAACTTTCTGTAAAATATTTCTACTCACAGCAGTGATGTTTATCAGATAAATCATAAATCATACAGATTTATCATGTATAGTATATAAAAAATTGCACTTAAAACAATGCACAATGGCAGAAAGAGGACATTTTCAATTCTTTTGTTATCCAATTACTTACTGGAAATCCACGAGATCCCGGCACACCAGGTTCTCCCTAAAAACAAACACAACTTCACTGTACTGAGCTTCAAGTGGCATAAAGACTGGAAATCCTCAAACTACACAAATAATGACATCATTAAAATACGCCATCTTCTAGTTTTCAAACACAATTTTAGTTGAACTAGTTACTTCAGCTTCTTTACAACTTAATTTGCCAGCTGATTTGCAACTACAACAACGCAACTGCACTTTAGCATTTGGTTCGTATCAGCCAGGTAGCTAACTTACTTTTTGTCCCCTTGGTCCAACAGAGCCAGGAGATCCATCAGGTCCTGTTAATCCCTGACAAAATAAGATAATGATATTAGAATTAACATATTTACACCAACAGCTAAGTGGAAATTTTGTTAATTAACTGCAGGATGGTTACATCTTACTTCATAAGCTCTGCTTGCTAGTTGTTAATAAATTTTATGTAGCTAACTTCCTGTTGAATGCATGATTTACCATGATGTTTTATGTCACTGCAACACCAGCATCCCATATAGGCACTGGTGCATATCCCAGCGGCTCCACTTCCAATATGGCTCCCTGCTAATGACCTGGGAAAGCTGCATATGATGGCCCACGTACTTAGGCTTTTGCACATATGTGGAACACCTGGAACAAGTCCCTGGCCCCTAAAGTCCCTTCAGTGTGTTCCAGTCCTGGCCATTGCAACCATTTGGGGAAAGAACCAGCAAATTAAAGCTCATGCTCACTCGTGCGCTCTGACTTGCAAATAAGTTTATTTTTTTTTAAAGAGTAAGATATTGGTTTACACATCTTTCCTAGCATGTCATAATAAGACCTCTAAAAATATCTCTATTGATGCAATTGATGATAATACCACAGCTGTCCTCTGGGTGCAGGGTTCTAATCAAATTCCCACACCCCTAATTGCATTGTCCATATGGGAAAAGAAGAATTCAATTTCAGAAGATATCTGAAATATGAATCTGTACATATAAATATATATATGTATCTAGATATATATACATCACATCCAACTATATAACTTCCAAAATCTAATTTGCCATAAAATACTAAATTTTAAAAAGATGACAAAGAACAGTAGCTGTGGCAGACAATTGCTTTCAAATAAATCATTATGCAGGCACAGTTCTGTGCTGGGTAATGTTGAAGCTGACAGTGAACTTCGTGCTACAGCTTGGCAAAGAGTATTCATCCTCAGCGATGATTTCCTGCCAGCATTCCAACAGCTCATCTGATAAAAGTCAAAGCATTCTTGGAAAAGCAGAGCCACAATGATTCTTTCACCTTTTCCGCTAAATATTGACTCAACACAGGATAATAAACTTCAAACTGTTCCTTTCAGAACCTTTCAAGAATCACCCAATTAACCATTTTGTTGCTGTTGTTAAATATTAACTTGCTTGTGAAACAAGGAGCAGAAGGCAAAGCTCCTATTTCTACATTCAGACTCACTAGGAAAGGGCTGTAGTGCTTCTCCCTCTGACTTAACTCCCCAGGGGCCAGAAACAGAAAACCCTGATCTAGTCCCTGTGCTTCAAAGCTGTTCATTTGCAATTTACAAAGGTTTTTTAATGTCACATCAGTCTAAGAGTGGAGTAACTAAACTAATTCTAGAGTCTCTCCAAAAGTTGGTGGATATAAAACATACCAATGTTCATAAATAATCACAAAATATCAACTATAAATGATTTTCATTAACTGTTTGATTCTCCTTATCATTCTTCTATGTTGGCAACTTAAGAATTTAAAAAAATCACTATCACTTTTTCTCTCTCTTCTCCCCAGTTCTGCATCAATTAAGGACCTCAGGTCACACATCCTTGAGCCAGGCCTGGGAATTTAAAGGAAAAACCAAGAAATTGCAGGTTTGGCGGGGGGCCGGGGCTGGTGGGGGGAAAGATCTTAGCTCCTAAATACTTCTCTGTCCCGGAGGAAACAAATTATCTTCATAATTATTCTGGTTTCCCTACCTATAGAAAACAATAGATCATTATGGGTTTACAGGTATTAATGGGACAGTGTTTGAACAAAAGGCACTATACAAATGCAAACATTTTTCTTCTACATCTAGGAAATGTTTAAAATACTGGCATGTCATGGGTTTCTTCCTCTTTTTCTTTTGTGTTCCTTCTCTGTCCCAAAAGACTCACTCAAGGCTCTCACTAGTTCTTCCTTGAGGACCTACTGATATCAAAGTAAAAAAAAAAAAAAAAAAAACCTTACTCTGCTATAATTTGCTCTATTTGAAATCTGGCTTTGAACTCTTTATGTTTTACTCTTAAGTATTTGAAAGTGTTTTGTTTATCCAAAATTTCCGTTCAAGTGGGGAAATTTCAGAATAGCAATTGTCCTCATAACATGATGGTAAAGAATTTGTTCAGCAAACTGCAGAAACACTTTTAATCTGGAAGACAGGCAAATCTAGCTCCCTGTAATTATACTGCAGTTTAATAGCAAAACAACACTCCAGATGACTGTTTCAATTCTTCAGTTAGCAAAATATTTTTAAAAGTTTAATGTATTCAGAAGTTTCCAGGGAATACAGAAATGAATTTAACTAGTGTTAGGCTACTCTTTTAGATATTTATTTCATAGTACAACAATTTCAACTACCAAGATGCTTTGAAGAGGAGCTTGCTAACCAACAGGTATCATTTCATTTCTACTGTCCAGACATCAGTTTGGTTTCCAGTTTGTATTATCCAAGTAAAGTCCCTGAGGGCTACAGGAACTGTCAACTTGACACACACAGATAGTTCTAACTAGGAACTTTAAGATGGAAAAGTTGTTAGTATTCAAGCAGCCCTGGTCAGCTCATTTGTTGTCAGTAATGTCAGCCAGAAAAACACTTCAGAAAGAGGTAAACTTTATTTTGGAGTTCGTCTTCGATACATCCTGACCATTTTCCTATCCCTGCCCCATGCCCACACATCCCTCACTTTGAATGCACCCCTACCCCCACCCAAAGTACATCTTTTTCATATTCTATGGGCTTTGTGTGTTGCCCTGCCCCTTGCCCTGCCTTCAGCTCCTGCTTCTGAATTAATTAATTTTGGGAGAGCAAGTGACAAGGCAATGTGAAGACCATCTGCTACCAGTCCCAGCTGGCTGCTGTGACCTCGTCCAGGCTGAGGCAGCGAGGAGGCGACTGTTCAGACAGCAACCAGCACCTCAGTGTTTTAAGGAAATGCCAGTCATGTATGTAGGAGTCAAAAGGCATATCCACTTTCCCAGGTTCCTTTGCAGAAGCTGCCAGATCCATGCCCAGTCAGATAGTGTGGCATGAAGGCCAGGCTCAGAGCAGAGCCAGAGTACTTGCCTGCCTCATCATTGCATCTGTCTCCTGCTAGTATGGCGCCCTGGGTCTCTGTCATTCCGTGTACCTGTATCTGCTACTTTTCCTCTATGTATGTCAGTCTGTCTACATCCATCTGTGTCCACCTGTCTTACATCTTGTCTGTTTCTAACCCCCCCACACACACACTCTTTCTCACACACACAACACACACACACACACACACACACACACACACAGATACCTAACAGTGCATCACACAAACCCCGGCCTGACATCCTACTCACATCAGCTCCTGGTGTGCCAGGCTTGCCTGGAGCTCCTGGTTTCCCCGGTTCTCCTACAGGACCCTGAACAAGGAGAGAAAAAGGTGCCAAGTTAAGACTGTTGGAACATTTAAAGGGGAAAAATGGTGGGACCGCTGCACAGATCAACTTACCGGAGGACCTGGGGGACCCTTTGGACCTCGGTCACCCTGGAGATAGAAGAAAAAGTGAACGTGGCAGGAAAGAACTGAGACAACCCCACATGTGTGAAAGCAGGCAAATGACAGGTAGGACCGGGACAGGACCACCTCCCCTCTCAGAAAATCTCCTGGCTCCTGGGATCCAACCCCACTCTCACCCAGGCTGGAAGGCAGGTAAGTAAAGGTGGGGGCACCTGGCACCCTTTCAAAATGTGGGAAAGCCACAGCCAAAGCCTCCTACAGGACGAGATTGGGGACAGAAACTTACATCAATGCCATCAATGCCTGGAACTCCAGGGGGTCCTGGAGGCCCGGGTGGCCCCGGCTGGCCAGGAGGACCTCTCTGTCAACAACAACACAAGTATTAGTAGGTGTACCCCCAAGGAATGGGGTACCTCCCTGCAGAGGCCAGGCTTTAAAAATCCAATATGGAAAGAAAGGAAAGGTATGCTCGGATTCTGCCGTTGTTTCCAGTCAGATAAACTGTGGAGTTAGAGGCAGAAAGAGCCCCCATTTCTGTCTCACCTCTACCTCTGTCTCAACCCCAGGGGGTGCATGGTAGAGAAGCAAAAGCCTGGAAAGGGATTCTGAAATGAAAATGGGGGTCTCTCACTCCCCCCATGTAATTAGTAATTGTTGGTAAGGGTTTGGGACAGGATACAGCAACCAAGAGTGAGAGTCCTGGCAGGTGACAACCCAGCAGGAGCAGGGCTTAGTCTCTCATCCAACAGGATGGGGAGGGTGTAGGGGAGCCTGTGGTCAACACGGGGAAGCCTTGGAGCCTTTGAGCCCCAAAACTCAGTCTGGGCTCCTTTCAGCTGTGCCTGCAGAAACATTTTCTTGCAACAAGAGCTTTGCACCTCACTTCACTCACTCCCAAATGCCTCCAGATTTCAGACTGCCCCTAAGGTGTGACTCCTTTTATCGCTGGCAAGCAGGTGGGTTTTGATGGTGCTAGAGAGAAGGCTGGTGTCTGTCACAGGATGAACGGGTTGCTCGAGGAATAAGGGATTTTTTTCCCTACTTCTGAATTTAAGAAGAAAGCCTCTTTCATCAAAGAAAACTTTGTTTTTCTCAGCTCCAATGACCAGACAGGTTACAATGGGGTCTTTGTAAGGGAAACCTCAAACCTCCTCCTCTGCTGGGCTTGTCTGCCCTCTCCTGGGGCTCTAGGCCAGTGCATAAGGGCGGGGAGAGACGCCAGAGCCTCCGAGAAGCAGCAGAGTTGGCAATGGGTACTAGGGTCGCCCAGGGCCAGTCCTAGAGCCACTGCCCCACTTGCAGTACTCAGACACGCACTGTGGGCTGGAGGAACCACAACTGGTGCTTGCCTCATTCCCACCTGCACCAGCAAAGCTTGCTCCTGACTGCCCAGGGTAGGATGAGAAAGAGAGCAAAAATGGAAAGCCTGATGCTCAGTTACCTGTTACCAGAGCTGTCTGACCCTATATGGTACAGAGTCAGGTATAGTAGTGAGGTTCCCCGGCCCTCAGGGGAAAAGGAGGAGGAAGGCAACCTGGGGCCAGAGGACCCTCACCAAAGATACTCCCAAGTGGAAGGGAATCCAGGTCCAAGAGTCCTGAGCATGCTCCGTGCCTCGCTCAAGGCACCCCCAGCTACAGAATCCCCTACTAGGCCTTCAAACAACACAAACAACACAACAACTCAAACAACACAAACATTTTTCACCACCCCCACCCCAGCTTACCTTCTTAGTGGTCTGGCTAGGCTGGAGAAGGAAGAATGGGTAGAGGGGGCAAAGGCACTTCCCGCCTCCCACACTTCACCCGTGCCCAAATTTGCACACAACTTACTTGAGCCAGGCACAGGCAGAGCCCTGAGAGCAGCAGCTGCAGCCCGAGAGCACCACGGCGGCCTGCTGTCCAGACCATGATCACAGCCCTCTGCTGCTCCCCCACCGAGCTCTGCAACCTGCAGCTGGCTTAGCACTCCAGGATCTGCCACTCGCATCAGTGGCACTTCGCTATGCGGGGGAGAAATGCACTCCCCCAACCCACCCACTCCGGGAGCAGTAGCAGCAGCAGTTGTAAAGGTGCCCAGGCAGGCCGGTAGGCGGTAGGCATAGATTCCAGCCTTTTATGAATGGCCCTGGAAGGGGCCTGGGGATTGGAGGAAAGCTGAAAGGTCGGGAGGACGGATAAATGACAACAATCCCCCTTAACCCTTTCCCTACGGCCACACAGCAGGACCTGAGGGCACAGCTCTCTGCCTCCAAGGCCCAGGTTCCAGCACAGCCCAGGGCTGACCCAAGGGCCTCCCAAAGGGTCTGTGCCCCCCATGGAGAGTAAGCACACAGTGTTTGGGAGTGGAGAGTGGTGTGTTAAGCCAAAGGGAGAGCCAGATACTAGGCCAGGTTTTTAACTTGCTTTGAGCAGGACCTGAACTTGTTTGATCAGGGTATAAAGTAGGGATTCTTTCAACAAAGGTGAGGAGGGAGGGATGGCTAAATGTGTGAGCTGAGTAGAAGTGGCCTCTGCAGGTGCTCAAGGGTCTCACCGTTACTACTGGCAGTTCATGGCACGTTTCCCTCCCAGGCCGCAGGGGATCGCAATGAATCAGCATCCACTGAAGTTCAAACTGAAAAGAAGGCAACAGTCAATTACAGTTGCTTTGGGGGACAGAGTAGGTCGTTTAAGAAAAACAGACATGGAGTCCTTCAGTGATGGGAAAGCTAACCGGAGCCTATTAAGCTCTTGCTTTCCCTTAAGCACAAATGCTCTGAGACATACTGAAGTTCTTCCTAATGCTCTCTAATCATGAGGTGTGTTTGTCTTCATTTCTGATTTACTTCAGCTTTACCATGGCAGCCCTCACCGGGATCAGATCACCAGCCCTGATCGTCTCTCTCTCTCTTCTCATCACTAACTCAAGTGGTAGACTCCATTGAAAGGAGGCTGGGAAAGAAAAACAGACTCTGCAAGTCACAAGCAAGTGTTAGAGTCTAGATTGGAACTCAGGCCTATTGAGCACCACAAGAAATACATGTTCTCAGATTTTTGGATAAGAGCTTAGAAACAGAGGGAGCCAAAGAGATAACAACCAGGAAAACCAGAAGAAAGGAAATTGAGTCCTGGAGAAAATTTACAACCTCAAGGAGACACACTCGGTAAAGTGGCCGCAGCTTAAAATAGAAAGAGAAAGGACTGAAAGTGAAGGGAATGGTGGAAAAGATCCTGGAGGGAAAAATGAAATATTTTAATTTTGCATACAAATACAAATTTCTAAGCCATTTAAATCCAATGTATCCTGACAACTTCTTATATATTAAACAAGTGTTGAGGATGGAGGTGGAGGGTAACAGGAAAGAAACAATATAAACATTGCCAAGTCCCAATCTAAAAAGAGCCTCAGATGACAAGGGGGAAAAAAGAAAAACACCGTTTTTTTTTCCACAGGAAGCCTGTGGCATCTGTCATTCCCTCTTGACAGGGAGGTTTCCTCGTAGGCATTTCAAATTGGATCCATTTTCCTCGTCAGTAGCTTCTTACAGCATTATGCCAATGTCTGGCAAACTATCCCAGTAATACACACACACACACACACACACACACACACACACACACACACACACTGTGTGTGGTGGAGGGAGGGGGGAACTGAGACAGAATATGCAGAAGTACAGGCATCCAAAGTTGAGTTTACTGAATAGAAGACTAAAACTGGAGACACTGGAAGATGAAATCCTTCCCCTTCCCAGCTACCAAGAAAAAAGGAAAAGTCAGGCAAGAGGAAGCATTCCATTGTATAAAGAGGTGGCAAGCATTAAGTGTCCACATTTCTGCACAGGCACCTCTCCCCCACATGAACAGCTGTCCTGGAGCTCACGGCATACTCCGTCACTCTCGTTTCACTCCAACTTATCTTGCTTTCTCTACAGGAAAAGCAACCGTTCATGACTTTTGTGAGGTGTGGTAAAAAAGTGAGCAGCTAAATTAAGACATATTTTACATGGAAAGTTAGACATAAATTTTGTGAGGATTATACCCATCACTAACAGTAATAAATTAACACCTTGCAAAAAAAACTATTCCCAAACTATACCATTACCTTGCAGCTAAGGTTATAACTTTTAATCAAATATTTTTTCATCTAGTGGCTTTGTTTAGTTACAAGGGATTTTGTGTTTTGTTCTAAACTGCAGTGAAAAATTTTTAAAGGAAAAATAGGACAAACTTTTCCTGAAGTTAAATTAACTTGCTGGCATTTGGAGCAGTTTCCAGATAGGTAAAGTGGGACAAAAAATGTACTGATTTGCCATAGGTCATAAAGCTAGTGAATGAGAGAACTGGCAGTCCCAAATTCCCCGACATTAAAATAAGGGTTTTCTTCTATCCAATTCGGTCCCCCCATGGAGATAGACTCCCTTCACAACAAACCATATTTTCTGAACACATAAGCAAGACATTTTCTGATTGAATGCTTGTATTTGAGATGAAAACTTTAGAAATTAAACCTGTATAACCTGTTTCCCATATCTATTACAGAAGTTCAGAACTAAACTTTGATAAGGATTCAAACTTTTCTTCATTTTATGCTTGTTGTAGAAACATCAAACATAATATTCCTTTAAAAATTGACAGCTATGCCAACATGCAATTACATATCCATGTGCAAAACAAAATACCACACAGAAAATTGTGGTTCTTTTTGTTCCATGACTGGATAAAAATGTTGTCAGACTAAATAAAGGATATCTCCCCTACTCTCAAAATATGAAAATCTCACATAATTTTATTCACTAAGCTCTTTGTGAAATGGCAACTCAGATTAAAAAGGTATCTGGGCCCGGCAGCGTGGCTTAGCAGCTAAAGTCCTCACCCTGAACGCGCAAGGATCCCATATGAGCGCCGGTTCTAATCCAGGCAGCTCCACTTCCCATCCAGCTCTCTATTTGTGGACTGGGAAAGCAGTGGAGGATGGCCCAAAGCTTTGGAACCCTGCACCCGTGTGGGATACCTGGAAGAAGTTCCTGGATCCTGGCTTCGGACCGGCATAGCATCAGCCGTTGCACTCACTTGGGGAGTGAATCATTGGACGGAAGATCTTCCTTCTGTCTCTCCTCTCTGTATATCTGACTTTCCAATAAATAAATAAAGCTTTAAAAATAAATAAAAAGGTATCTAAGACTTTTTTTTAAAAATAACATGCCTTAATCACCAAAAAGTTTTTATATATACAGCAAACCGGGAAATCTACATCCTCCTGTTTCATTATTTCACTGAAGTACTGATTGCAAATTGCAGTAATTCATTAGCCTGTTTTCTCAAAAATACAATTCACTTTGGGTGAACTGATACACCTCTTTAAAGAGGAGAGCAGCAATGTTGGCACAAGCTATTGGAGGAATAAAGTATAATCCACCTGTGAGCACAGGCTGGGTTGTTCACAGGACCTCACGGACCATGCGTTTCTGAACATATCTGTGCATCCACATCAACACCACCTACACACTGATGATCATCTATACAAAAACCAATTTTTGGCATGCAATATGAATTCCAAATTTACTAATTATTTTTGAAGGAATTTTTGGCACAGAGCCTTGGTAAAAGTCATTGTCTTTGTATTATCTACAATTCTGATTTCCACATGTTTGTCATTGTTAAACCTAGAACAATGCTTCACTTTGAGTATTTGTTGACAATGTGAGTGACAAATTTTAATTTACCCCTTAATTTAGCATTTTTTAAAGACAGAGAGCAAGGTCTTCTGTCCACTGTTTCATTCCCCAAGTGGCCACAATGGCCAGAGCTGAGCTGATCTGAAGCCAGGAGCCTCTTCTAGGTCTCCCATGTGGGTGCAGGGTCCCAAGACTTTGGGCTTTCCTTGACTGCTTTCCCAGGCAGCAAGCAGGGAGCTAGATGGGAAGCAGTGCTGCCGGATACAAACCAGTGCCCATACGGGATCCTGGCGCACATGCAGGGTAAGGACTTTAGTTGTTAAGCTACCACGCCAGGCCCAGTTAGCATTTTTTTAAAGTTTTATATATTCATCTATTTGAAATGCAGAAATACTGCCAGACAGCGAAAGAGGAAGAGATCCTCCATCTGCAGGCTCATTCCCACAGGCCCACAATAACCAGGGCTGGGCCAGAAACAAAGAACTCCTTTCTGGGTCTCCCATGTGGGTGGCAGGGACCATCGTGTGCTCCCTCCCAGGATACAAATTCAAAAGAAGCTGGCACAGATGCAGAGCTGCAACTCTATCCCAGGCATTTAGATATGGGAGTCAGGCATCCCAAGCAGAGACTATCCTTTAGGCCAAAACACCTGCTCCAATCAGATCTTCTGAAGTCCAGTGGAAATCTTCCAGGAAAATTGAAGATACTTCCTTGCTTCAAAAAGGTTCTCATGTGTAAGAATTAGAGAGAAATCAGTTTAATCCACCAAGTAAAATATGAAACATACTAGCAAAATTCATTCTCAACTGAAAAATGTATTTATCTTCAAGGAAAACTGATATAAGATACCTTACTTTTATTCATATTTGATACTACAGTATGATTTCTACTCTTGAATTATGCACTTAAGAAATTTAAGGCTCAATTCTATATATTTTTTGAAGATTTGCTTGAAAGGAAGAGTTGGAGAATAGAAGAGAGCGGTCTTTCATCCACTGGTTCACTCCATAAACAGCTACAAGCACCAGGGCCAGGCCAGGCCAAAGCCAAAAGCATTAATTGGGTCTCCCACAAGTGTACAAGAGTCCAAGTACTTGTGCCATATTCTGCTGCTTTTCCAAGCACATTATCAGAGAGCAGGATAGGAAATGCAGCAGCTGAGAAATGAGCCAGCATCCATTCGGGACGTCAGCACCATGGGAAGCAGAGTATCACTTTGCCACAATACCAGCCCACTCTGTACACTTAAAAAGGGTGAGTTCTATTCATCTTGATAAGAAACAGCCTGATACCCACAAAAAGACCTGCTGACTCATGACTGTGGGTTGGCTTAGTCCAGCCCTTGTAGCCTTTGTGTCCATCTGGGAAGTGAATCAGTAGATGGAAGATTTCTTTCTAATCTCCATCTCCTCTTCCTTCCCTACCAAATAATTGATTTTTAAAAAAAAGCTAAAATATTAGCACGATTTTCCCAACCCATCTCCATTGTGTTAACTATCCAGTTCCATCATTTACTTCTCTCCATCTCATTCCACCCACACGGATTTCCACGAAGTCCTCAAACAGCACACAACACCCTGCCAGCGCCTTTTCACTCTATGGTCCTCCTCACTGGAATCCTCCTCCCCAGACAGTCACGTACTAATCCTCTCAACTGCTTTGTGTCTCTGCTACAAGGTTTTCTTCTGAAAGAGACCCTCTTTCCAGATACAATTTTCTGTCTCATTTTCCCTTAGTTTATCACCACTTGGAAGATCATACATTTACCTAGTTTATTCCTCATTTCCATAGGCTCTATTGGCACATTAACTTAAAATTTCTCTTAAATTTCTTAAATTACTTAAATTTAACTTAAATACCATCTCTTTGGGCTGATGTTTGGCCAAGCAGTGAAGCCTCCTATCAGGACACATCAAAGTGCCTGGTTTCAAGTCCTGGACCTCATTTTAATTTTGTT